ATTTAAGGGGGTCTGAATACTTTCCGTACCCACTGTATGTAAGGTAAGAAGAAAAAAGGAATTAGGAATGCACCGATGCCACTTTTTTCAGAACGAGTCCGATACGATACTTTTATTTTTGGTACTTGCTGATACCGATACCTGTATTTTCACAGCATTTGTAATAAAAAAAAAATGTGGGTAATAAAATATTATATTTAAAATATTATTAAAAATATTGGGTACAGGAACAAAATAATAATAATAATTAAAATAAAAAAGAAATTGCTCAATCTACTCAGCGTGCTCTGCCTATCAGCTCGTGCACATCAGGTATACAGGCGTGAATATTGAATGTTTATCATTATGTTAATTACATACATGTACTACTAAATAAAAACAAACAAAATAATAATACTATTGTAATTTCATTGTAAAATTGTAAAAAATTGAATATTTACAAAATATATATATTTTTTTACAGCCTTTAATTTTGGAGGAAAATATTAATATTCAAATGAATCTGAAGTATCAATTTAAACTTTATTTTTCTATATCTTCTATAACTCATTTGAAAAAGATACATACTAGTTTCCAAATGCACGTTGTAATCGACCCAAACTCAGATGCAGATACAGATAATTTAACATGAACCACGCCGCTGCGAGACACTAAAAACACAAGATCATTAGCTGCTTACATGTAAGAGTAGTCACTCTACACTCTGAAAATACATAATGCATGTATTTATTAATTTATATCATAGCCTTTGCAATTTGATAATTATGCTAAGCCATACTGCAATTTTGGTTTCGTTTCAAATATCATGTCTAGTAGCAAAGTCAATCAACCATGAGTGCCAGTCAAGTCTTGTGCGTGGCGATGCTTTTTGTTTGGTGTTCAATGTGAGTGACAGCTAACAGAGCTTAATTTCAGTGGGGCAGCTCACTAGGATTTGGAACAGGGCCTTTATGGCAAGGCAAACCTGCTGGTCTCTAGGACATGTTCTTTACCTCATGGATATATACTCCTTGAGCTTTCTGTTGATCAAATCAGTACTGGTTACGGCAGCATTCTGAAAACACAAGATAAAGAATCATTAGCATTGTGGTAACATGCAAACCTCCGAGTACAGCAACATAAACCTGATTGTGAGCGTTAAGGCAAACCAGTTCCTCTGGCAAACACAGGAGACGAATATTAACAACAAGCCTACCCATAATCCTCACACTTTCAGTAAACAATGTCACCTCGACACTGATTTCATCCAATGACAAAGCCTTGTTGTGTTAGCAGTAAGCTGGTTTTCACATGGTTTCAATTCAGGACAAAGTTATGCAATACTATGATGCTTGTGCAGTCAACTCTGAGGGGGCAGATATGGTTCACAGACTTCACATGATGATATTAATCTGCTATGATTTCCTGCTCATATTAGTTCTTTGTGAGGCTGTTCACATGACATTTTAAATGTGTAATAAGACACTGTTTAGAAAGGAGTCAAGGACTGAGTGGTTAGCATGGCCCTGTTATCCTCTGTTGGTAGATGCTGTAACTACAGCATTATGTCACAA